CACAGGCAGGCAAACAGAAACTGCACATTCCCTTTGACTTTTTTGTCACACAGCACATGTTGTCCTGCAGCTTGTGATTTCCACACCACCATTTTGTTTTGTTTTGTTTTGTTTTTACATTTGGGGTAGAATTCACACAGTGACACACATTCATCTTAAGAGCATAAATGGATGATATTTGGTAGATATCTGTGCCTGCGTATTGACTCCGACACTAGTGATTTTTTGATTGCCATTTATAATGTCACTATTCCAGAGTTGTGATTATGATAGTAGTCTCAGGGTCACCCTACATGATGGACTTGTGAGGCTTGCTTTGATCACTGACCTAGGAATTGATAAAGTAGGGAGCGCATTTGGTATGTTTGTAGATGATACCAGATTGGAAGATATGGTGGTTAGAATTAGGAGGAATTAAAGTGTTTTAAAATTTAAACAGAACAGCCTTGGCCAGGTGGGTTCGATTTTTATTCAGGGCACATACCTAGATTGTTGGTTTGATCCCTGGTCAGGGCATGTATGGGAGGCAAACACATTTTTTTTTTACATTTTTAAAAATATATCTTTATTGATTTCAGAGAGGAAGGGAGAGGGAGAGATAGAAACATCAATGATGAGAGAGAGTCATTGATTGGCTGCCTCCTACACATCCCCTAGTGGTGATCAAGCCCGCAACCCAGACATGTGCCCTTGACTGGACTTGAACCTGGACCCTTCAGTCCACAGGCTGATGCTCTATCCACTGAGCAAAACCAGCTAGGGCAAGGCAAACCTATTGATGTTTTTGTCTCACATAGATGTTTCTCTCTCTGCCTCCCTTCCCTTTCCTCTCTTTAAAGTCAGTGGGTAAGTTAGCAGTGTGTTCAGATTTTTAACTAAAGCAATGAAATCTTAGGTCAAATAGAATGTTATTTCTGGGAATAGGACTCAAGGAAATGGTATAAAATGGCAAAGGACTTAACTGTAATAAATTATAGTGGAAAGTTGTCTACTAGACTATAGTTATAATAAGACTATAGTTATAATGACCTTAATGGTATTTTCATTGCAATAGGAGCAATGAAGTAACAAGACTCTCCCTCTCTCTCTCTCTCTCTCTCTCTCTCTCTCTCTCTCTCTCTCTCTCTCTCTCTCTCTCTCTCAGAGAGGAAATTTAATGATGTTTAAGAGCTCACTTTCTGACTTTCAATCTGGTTTCTACTAAATTACTCTTCTCATAGTCGGATTATGTAACTTTCCTAGTCTATAAAAGGAACAAATGATAGTGCCTGCCTTATGCAGGGTGTTCTGCAGACTAAGTTATAATGAATGTAAAGTTCTTAGCTCAGGGATTGGCCCATAGTAAGTTTTTAAATGCTATTGTTATTTTAGAGGTTCTAAAATTAGGGTAATGTATTATGGGTATCAGTATTTTTTATCATAAAACCAGGAAGTTTTAAAAGTTAGATGTTCTGAGCTATCATTTCACTTTTGAAATCTTTCTCTTTCTTATGGTAGAGTTTTCAGTCACGTTACTAAGTACTATTAGGGAAAACTGGATACCTTTAAATGTGAACTTTAACAGCATTTTCTTTATTCTAACTTAAAATAGTTGATCTCATCCTTTTCTATTGTAGCCCTCAATCATACAATCACTAGGATGCAGAACTCAGAACACGGAGATAACAAAATCAGACACTGAAGGTAAAACAAAAGGTAAGTGTTTCAATAAAATCTTCATACTAGGATTGAAACATGCTCAGAAATTTATATTTGTTGAAGGCATTTGTCAACACCATACCACTTGATCAGAGTATTAAATCCTGCTAGCTATAGGTATCATGAGGTCAAAGATTTTAATATGCTTTGTTCACTAATGTTCTATCCTGACAGTTAGAACTGTGCCTAGAGCATAGCAGGAACTTCGTAAGCAGTTGAATGGATATGTTTAATGAAATTATTACTTAATTTCACATATGGTATTAGCTGAAATTATTAAATTCATTTTAATAGTTTCTAGTATACATTACTTTGCACTAGATAGAAACTTAAGTATTTATGGAAAGAATCAATGTATATAAGTTATATTACTTACATTCTTTATTTTAGCTAAGGAATATTGTAGAGCGTTATTTGCCTATGAAGGTACTAATGAAGATGAACTTACTTTTAAAGAGGGAGACATAATCCACTTGATAAGTAAGGTAAGATCTTTCTCTGGTTTGTAAATCATATGTAATTTATTCATAGAAACATTTTTTCAGTATTCTTATATTCCCCCTTGCACCTGAGCCCTGGAAGTGCTGGGACTTGTCATGTTTGTTTCTGTGTCCTGAGAACCTGGCACATAGTGAGAGGCGCGAGTGTGTGTGTGTGTGTGTGTGTGTGTGTGTGTGTTTAGAAAACTTTGTTATAATTGATATTATTGGGAATTATTTTTACCGTCATGTTGCGTTTTTCTTTAACCTTAACCCACCTTCAGGTTTCTGTTCTTACTTTCTCTTTTGCCTCATCCCATTTTATTTGAACCTACTGTTTGTTGTTTTGTTTTTAATACATTAAGTGCCCAGTCAGTCACCAGTGACTGACACTATACTTTCTGTCCGGAAGACAAAACAGGCTGGGCGCTTAACATGTTAATATTTAAAAAAAAACACCCAAAAAACCCACAAGGAATAATGGGGAAACAATTTAAATGTCCCTCAACATGTAAAAATTATCCGGTGGAAAGTAATGCAGCTAAACAGTATTATTGGTTAGGCAAAATCCTATAATTAGTCTTTGTAAGAGAGCAAAATTATAAATATTTGGTTTTTGGTGTAATCCCATTGAATCATTTTTGAAATTTATTTCTATTGTTTTAAATTAATGATCAGATGATTCACTGTATGCCATTTTTAATATTCATACAGTTTGGATTAATTTCTCATGGAAGGATGGCATTTGGAAGGAATTGAAGAACGTGTTAATTTCTAAACCAAGTGAATAATGTGATTAATATTGAGTATTAAAATGTTGGGAAGAATATTTAGTAAGATACAGTTTGGAAATTCATATTCTCTTTTCACCCTCCTCTCCTTCCTTTTCTTTTTCCTTTCTCCTCCCCAAGAACTTTTTATCTTTATAAATTAAATTTAAAACACTTGACTTATAAACCCAACTTTATAACTGCTGCTAGAAGCAATAGTGAGAAATATTTTTTATTAGGAGGATCTCATGATATGTTTAGGTATTTTTTTTCCTTGTAAAAAATAATGGAATTCAATATTTTCTATAATTTTTTCTTATTTAAAGATAATCCTTATTTTAATTATTCTTCATGTTGAATTTTAGGAGACTGGAGAAACTGGCTGGTGGAAGGGTGAACTTAATGGTAAAGAAGGAGTATTTCCGGACAATTTTGCTGTTCAGATAAATGAACTGGATAAGGACTTTCCAGTAAGCTTTATTTTTCAATTTTCAATGATGATAATAGTTTAAAGAACCTTTTTTCAATATTTTTTAAAAAACAGAATGTTTACATTGTTACTGAATACTGTTATGAGGGTGTTTTAGATTCATGTCTTCAGGTAACTTACTTGAATAATAGTAAAAACAAAACAGTATTTCAGTTCTGTCCTTTATTCCTGGTTTTCTTTCCCTGCTGATAATATTGGAGAGTAACCTTTGGCTCATTACTTTTTTTCTTAAAATACATTTTTTATTGATTTCAGAGGGGAAGGGAGAGGGGGAGAGAGATAGAAACATTAATGATGAGAGAGAATCACTGATCGGCCGCCTCCTGCATGCCCCCCGCTGGGGATCGAGCCTGCAACCTAGGCATGTGCCCTGACTGGGAATCAAACCGAGACCACCTCGTTCATAGGTGGATTCTCAACCTCTGAGCCATACCAGCTGGGCTCATTACTTTATTTAATTAAGTGGGAGGGGAATCAGAGGTGGTGGAGATGGGAAAAGCAGTGGGGGGAGAGGGATATCTGCAATAATGTCAACATTAAAAGTTTTGGGGGGTTTTGCCCTGACCTGTTTGGCTCAGTGGTTAGAGCGTCGGCCTGTGGACTCAAGGGTCCCAGGTTCGATTCCAGTGAAGGGCATGTACCCTGGTTGCGGGCACGTCCCCAGTGGGGATTGTGCAGGAGGCAGCTGATAGATGTTTGTCTCTCATCGATGTTTCTAACTCTCTATCCCTCTCCCTTCCTCTCTGTAAAAAATCAATACACACACACACACCTTTTAATATGGAAACAGATTCCCTTAATAAATTATTAAAAAAATAAAATATTACATGCAGTGGAAAAAGAAAAAAAACCGGCCATTCTAGTTAGATAAATTAGCACTTAGCTGGAAGACATTATATTTTTATTTAATTTGTTGAAAATAAGGCAATGTAGATCTTACTGTTACTCTGTCAATTCATTCTTTGGTAGAATAAAAGGCAGTCTTTGCCTCCTTATAGGATTTAATCTACTAGTATCTATTTTACTTCTCACGGTGAATAAAGTAAATCTGAGTTGCATCAGTAATCTTTTGTTTCTGTGCACCTTGATCCCTTCTTCCCCCATGGAGTGATGAACCTAATTGAGTTTTAAAAATATATAGGGGGCCAAAACCTGTTTGGCTCAGTGGATAGAGCGTCGGCCTGCGGACTGAAAGGTCCCGGGTTCGATTCCGGTCAAGGGCATGTACCTGGGTTGCGGGCACATCCCCAGTGGGAGATGTGCAGGAGGCAGCTGATCAATGTTTCTCTCTCATCGATCTTTCTAACTCTCTATCTCTCCCCCCTCCTCTCTGTAAAAAATCAATAAAATATATTAAAATAAAAATAAAAATAAAAATATATAGGGGGAAAGGGAGTTAGAGTGCAGATACACAGCAAGACAGTCTACCACATTTGACTTAGGCAATGCAAAGCTCTCTAATCTTCTCAGTCTCTCATTTAGTTAAGTCAGTTACCAGAGGTTACTGGGTGGAGGCTCACACTGTCTGAGGCCCTTCCTTAGCGGGATTTGATTCACTATGGATTCAGCCTCCAGTGTGCTTTATTGTTATACTTTTTTTTCCTGCTTATTGAATTTATGGAGAGAATGAAACATCAGTTTGTTGTTCGATTAATTTATGCATTTATTGGTTGATTTCTTGTATGTGCCCTGACTGGGGATTGAACTCGCAACCTTAGTGTATGGAGATGGCGCTCTAATCCACTGAACTACCTGGCCAGGGCTTTTTCTTAATGAATACTTTTTTTCTTTTTTTTTGGTCTTTTATTGGATGCTTATACCCTATTGATTTTAAATTTGGAAAAACCAAATTCACATACTTAGAAAGGTGTCTCGAGTTTTTTAACTTAGTGGGTAAATCCTTATAAATCTAACAGAATTTGAATAAATTAAGGAAACATATCTTTGCTTTTGTCTTCTTTTTGATCATTCTGAAGAATCAAGATTGAAAGCTACATATATTTACTAGCTGCTCTTTTTGTTGTTTAAACAATGAGTATTTCTTTTCCTTTCCCTCCTACCCCTCCCCACCCAAGTGTCAATTGCTAAACACAGTGAAATGGTACATAGAAATCTTAAACTAGGGGAGGCAGAACAGAACGGTTTTGCTCTTCAAGAATTCATAGTTTTATATAACACTGATAAATTTTGATCAAGGAGGTATTCTAATAGAATAAAATTTTCTCCATGACCTTTTGTGGAGTTGTTAGGATTTTATTTTATAATTTTTAGCTGGTAGGGATTAAGGGGAGATGTTCATATAATTTTGATTTTCAATGATCAGAATTTATTTTAAGTATATTTAATATGTAAGTATTGAACAGTTTTCACCATTATTATTTTAATAGAAACCAAAGAAACCACCACCTCCTGCTAAGGGTCCAGGTATGTAAGAAAACTGTTTTTTCAGTTTGCTGTTTTTATATCTTTAAATTCTAAAATGGTGGAAATTTGGTGTTATGTACACCATTTATTTTCATTAGCAAAAAAAGTATATGCTATGTATCAATTTTTAGAAATATATAGAAACTGAGTGTTCACATGCATTAATATCTGTTAGTGTTTTTCAACAGATATTAATTAATACAAGGTATGAAATAGGAATGTTGAAAATAATTTATATACTTTAGTTCTATGTCATTTTTATTAAGAGAATTGACTAAGAACTGCTGAGAAACTTAATATATTGACCTGACAAATTATTTTTTCTGTCTTTTCAGATGAAATCCATTTTTTAATGTCTCAAACAAATGCTGATTTTTTATGTACTCTTCCTTAAGGAAGTGTGTTAGGGATTAAAGAAACTAGAAGAGTTTATTTTTTTAAAGAGTTGAATTAAACAAATCTAGAAGAATTTTCCAGTTTTATAATTTGGCTCTTTTTATGTCTGTGAATTTCAAAGCATCCAGTTTCTGATGTTTATAAATACAGTACAATTTTTTCTGAAATATTTGCTCTTTATAGAATAATGCAAGTCCTTTCCTGCTCAATAGTTTTAGCCTTGTATCTGCTGACCTAATCCCAGACCATGGAAAAAAAGTTAAAAATAACTTCTATATAAGATAGTTTTGGAGGCTTTTTAGACACTAGTTAAATTGGTCCTACAAAGTTAATTAAAATCTTCTATATATATAAAAGGCTAATATGCAAAGTGTCCCCTTGGGAATTTGACCGCTCCCTATGACATGCACTAACCACCAGGGGGAGGTGTGGAATGAAAGAAGGGCCCAGCCAGCAGCTGGAAGGCCCCGATTGGCCCTGATCGCTGGCCAGGCCAAGGGAACCTGCCCGTGCACAAATTTTGTGCACCTGGCCTCTAGTTATATAAAATAAAACACTTAATTTCACAGTTGCTGTAGCAGCATTTCAAGTCTCAACAGTCAATATCAGACAGCACAGCAATAGAATATTTCCATCACTGTAGTTAGTTCTCTAGATGGTGGTGTAGAGGACATGAATACCTTCATTTGACAAAAAAAAAACAACAACAACAACAAAAAAAATCTCAGATTACAGAGTTATTACTTACTCATGCTAACAGTGGGAGTTTTAGCATTAAATTGAGCCTAATGATTCTGCTTTATTGTTCTTTTTGTTGACCATGTTTTCATCTGATGTTATTTTTAAATGAACATGTACTAAAATTGTCTTTGTGCTCTAAAATGATTTTTCTAAGGTATGAACTTTGTTTTTTTCTTTAGCCCCAAAGCCTGAGCCAATATCTATAGAGAAAAAGTATTTTCCTATAAAGCCTGAAGAAAGAGGTATGCCTAATTTTTCCACTTTAAAAAAAAATAACTTTGTTGTCTCGCCACACTGAGCCATTTATACTGATATTTAATAAATGTTTAGTATTTACTTTGCAATGTTTGGTGTTTTCTGGGAGGAATAGTTTGTCAAGATCCATAAGAAGTTAAGATTTTACCAATTTATATCCATTAAAATGTTAAACCATTTTTTTTAGTAAGGGTTTAGTATTTATTCATAGTTATTTCAAATGTATACGAAAACTAAGCATAAACATTCATACTTTTATTATTTTTATAGTACCCCAGTTGAGAAACATTGTTAAAATAGGGTTATTTAAAACATGGGAGTGATTAATTATGTATTATTCAATTTTCACTTCACTTATCATGTAAACTTGAACGTTATTCAGGATACCTGTATGTATTTTGTTACTTCAACTCAGCCAGTGTGGCTCACTGGTTGAGCATCCACCTATGAACCAGGAGGTCCCAATCAGGACACATGTCCAGGTTGCAGTGCAGGGCATGCAGGAGGCAGTCGATCAGTGATTCTCATCATTGATGTTTCTATCTCTCGCTCCTTCTCTGAAGTCAAAAATATATTTAAAACAAAGAAAAAACATTACTTCATTACTTATTTTGTGTGGCTATTATTAGTTTGTAGAATATACCTCCTTTGTACAGAAAGATCTGGAATGGTTATATCTAGTAGATGAGGCTATATTTACCTGCAAAAACATGAATACTGTTTTAGAATGGTTTTGTTTCTGCTGCCTTTCTTCGTTTCTTACCTAACGTGTGACTGACCTCTCTTAACTGATTTCCCCTACTTTAGTTCCTTGTCTTGCTTATATTTTACATCTTTACAGAATTCATTTTTTAATAGACTATTTTTTAAAAGAGTTTTTTTTTTTAATTTATTGATTTGAAAGAGAGAAAGAAAGTTGATTTGAGAGAAAGAGAGAAAAAGAGAAAGAGAATTGATTTGTTGTTCTACTTATTTATGCATTCATTGATTGATACTTGTATGTGCCCTGAGTGGGGATCAAACCTGAAACCTTGACTTTATTGGGGCAGTGCTCTAACCAACTGAGCAACCCATCCAGGGCTCAGAACAGTTTTAGAGTTAAGCAAAATTGAATGGAAGGCACAGAGTTCCCATATACTAATTACCTGCACACATGTACAAACTTCCCCACTATCAACATCTGCACCAGGGTGGTACAGTACTACATTTGTTATAATCAGTTCACCTCCATTTGCCACATCATGGTCGTCCAAAGATGATAGTTTCATTAGGGTTCACTCCTGGTGTACATTTTACGAGTTTGGACAAATGTGTAATTTGGTAAATGTACATTTATAATATCATACAAAATAGTCACACTGCCCTAAAAATCCTCTCTGAGAGGACTTTTCATTTCTTTCTGCTCCGAATTCCTGACAACCACTGATCTTTTCATTTTCTCCATAGTTTTACCTTTTTCAGAATGTCATATAGTTATAATCATACAGTGTGTAGCTTTTCACATTGGCTTCTTTTACTTTGTAATATGTCTTTAAAGTTCCTTCAAGTCTTTCAGAGTTTAATTGCTCATTTCTTTTTAGTGCTGATTAATATTCTATTCTCTGGGGCCATTTACCTACTGAAGGGTTGTTTCCAGCTTTGGATGAATAAAGCTCTCTTCACATCTCCATGCAGGCTTTATATATCTGTTTTCATTTCATCAGGTTAAATACCAAGGAGTGTTATTATTAGATCATATGGTAAGAGTATGTTTAGTTTTATAAGAAACCACCAAACTGTCTTCCAAAGTGTGTGTACCATTTTGCATTCCCACCAACAGTGATTGAGAGCTCCTATTGCTCAATATCCTGTCCAGTATTTGGTATTGTTGGGAACTGATTCCAAATTATATTTTTGTTACCATCTTCTACTGTTTTCACTCATTAAATGCAACAACCATTCTTTTCCCTGAATATGTTATGCACCTTCATAGCTTTATCTCTTATTCAGTAATTGAGCTCTGCGTGTGTAATGCAAAGCGCTGAGGTTTGGTAAAACCTCGGGGTAATGCTTGCCAATTCCAAAGAAATAACCTGGAGACCTGGCTGTGAAAGGCATGGATTTATTAGGACTTACTGGTACATGCACACCAGGGCCATGCAGTAAAGTTTTTCCTGCTACACCGGCTACCACTTTTGAAGTTGAGCTATTAACTCCCATCTGGCCTACAGATAGGCCACACAGGGGGCAGCCAGCCAGTACCATTGTTTTGCTGCCACCCAGACTTTCCCAACACAAGATTTTAAAGAGTAAAGAAAACAGAGAAAAACAGAGCCTACAAGGGAGGGGGACAGCTGCTGTGTGAGATCAAAATACTAGCTATTTTCTGATTGAGAAGCTGGCTCGTCTCCCAAGGTCTCACAGTCCACTTAACTGATGGCCTTCACTATATTCCCCACAGGGTGGGAGGAGGAGGGGGAGCATGGGAAGGGGCCCATGTTCCCATTTACCATACAATATGGAAGATTTCCGTATTCCTTTTTTTTACATTTGAGAGTTTTATTTATGATATAAAAGTAATTTATCTCATATAATAAAGGGCTAATATGCAAATCGACCAAACTGTGGAACTACTGGTTGCTATGACGCACACTGACCACCAGGGGGAAGACACTCCACGCAGGAGCTGCCACCTGGTGTTCAGTGTGCTCCCACAGGGAGAGCACCTCTCAGCCAGAATCTGGGCTCACAACTGGCAAGAGCAGCAGTGGTGGCGGGAGCCTCTCCCACCTTCCCAGCAGCGCTAAGGATGTCCGACTGACGGCTTAAGGGGAATGGACCTAAGCTGTCAGTTGGACATCCCCCTGAGGGCTCCTGGCCTGCAAGAGGGCGCAGGCCAGGCTGAGGGACCCCCCCCAACACACACACACCTTGAGTGCCCGAATTTTCTGCACCGGGCCTCTAGTACTTAATAAAAGCATTTCTTAATCTCAGATTAGTCCTTTGTGGT